AAAGCTTGCCAAGCCTGGGGAAGCACGAACGCTTGAAATGCCACTTTACGTGCCGCTGCGTTCGTGTGCTAGCTTCGGTGGGTGGTTATTATTTGAGCCCGTTCTCGTTTCGACCTTCTCACTTGGCCCTTCTCGAAACAACCATTCTCAAAAAGATCTTCTCTCTTGGACCTGTCGCATTTGGCCTTTTCCCGTTTCGTCTTTCGCATTCCAACCCTCCTCATTTGGGCCCGTTCTCGTTTCGCCCTTTTCACCTCTCCCCTTTCAAAACAGCCATTCTCAAAAAAATCTCGCTTTGAGCCGTCGCACTTGACTCTTTCTATACCAAAATCGTTTTTTTAGGGTAATATTAATACATTGATATAATTTGTGTGTGTGTGTGTGTGTGCCACAGGCATACTCTCTCTGCTAGGGATTTTATCAGTGCGTCGAGGTCGTCGTGAAAAGCTACTAGCTGACAATAAAACAGACCAACTATTTATTGCATCCAGATCATATTCCGATTTGTCACGTTGTTTGAGGTCTCTTGACTTGGGACAATGCCACCACTTCTATAATGCAGTGGTTCTCAAAGGGGGGTCTGCGAACACATCCTAGGGGTCCGCGAAGCTCTGTCTCATCAGTCAGGCAAGGCAATATTAGTTGTCTTTCTTCACGTTGAGAAGAAACGTTCCTATTTTCGGGAGAGTACTCTCGTGTGTATGTCAATGATATAAGTCTACTTTACACTAGCAATTAGTTATATCCATTTATTAAATCATTATCATGATAACCTACACCTTTCTAGTCCCCTCGCCCGAACGTGGTCCTCCATCATCTCCGCATTTCTACAAGGCGTCCGCGAAACATCAATGGTTGAAAACCACTGCTATTATGTATCTCTCTGTTCAAACAAAGTTTCCAAAATAAATGTCCATCGCTTTTTTTCTCTCGTTTGCTTAGGAAGGGAAGCAGGCGTCACTGTACGATTCTCAGTGCGTACCTCTACACATAATATATATCTGATGGCATGTTGGGGGCCCAAGCTAGGTCAGGCTCATGAACAAAGCCGCGAAGGCATAACGACGTTAGAAGCATGCCGAACTAGTGCCGTTCGGTCGTAGCGCCAACGGGCGAAATGAGAATGGGTCAAGTTGCGAAAAACACCATTTGGATCATATGAGAAGGTTCAAACGAGAAGGACCAAATGAGAATGGGTCGAAATGTGCAAGGTTCAAATGCGAATGGGACGTTTTGAGATACACCCAGCTTCGGCAGTGCTTTCTTTCACACAGTCTCAGCTAAAGCATGAAACACGTGCAAACAAAAAGCGTGTCGCATCGCCGCGCCGCGCGGCGCAACTATACACCCTTTTCATGGCAAACGCTACCAGACGGTCGCTCCAGAATTCGACGTCCCGGAGGACTTCCCGCTTATCAAAACAAAATTTATCAAGGCCAACTTTAATACCACTGCTTGAAATTTCGATGAAACGTTTTACCGCCAATTCTCAGGGTGAACGCGAAGAAGCGCGAGATCTGGTAAACATTTTCGAATATTTTTTATACCAATTTGCCTCCTCCAAGGCGTTAATCTTACAGCCGAAGGCCCTGGTTAAATCTCTAATTTTGCTGTCCGTGTAACATGTATGCGTCCTAGCGGTGGTGACATATAAGCAAGCTCGACAGGCTTGCAAAGACGGAGCGACCAGAAATCGCTTGGGACAGAAGCGGCAGTTTATGTTTGTAAACTGCTAAAGGTCTACAGACGATTGCAAGACCACTGGACGCCGCCATGTCTCTGCTCGTGCGGACAAGCCCGTATATGTTTGAAGCCTGAGCAAGCTATGTTCACGTGCAAGCTGCACGTGCTTGTGCTCATACACTCTTAGAAAAAAGGGTACGGATAGTCCTCCCTTACGGGAGGAACGGTCTTGTAACCTATGTTCCTTTAGAAAGGGAGAAACCTTCGTCCCTGAAGCAGGGGAGCAAAGTTCCACCGTTGCTTGCATCTCAATATGGCGGCCCCGAATCGAGAAAATCGAGCCCAATAAGGCTTAACGAGGACGCTACGTCTCTTGTACGGGACGAGAGCAGCAGCAAATAAAAGCGTAACACGAGCTTTCCGCAAACTGTGTTTATTTCCGAAGCCAGACTCCCCCCACAGGTACAGACACCTGCGTTTCGAAAGCAGTTACTCAGTCTTCTCGTCGACAGCACTGCGATGTTAAACGGAGACAACCGATACCTAGTTACTTCGCGCACTTTGCGTCTTACCTTTGGTGTTCCTCGAGTCACAATTCCTTCGTCAACCGCACATCACGGAGAAGGGCAAACTCACTCCGCGAAACCAAAAGCCGCTCTCGAAAGAACGAACTCGAAGCCGCTGTTTATCGCGTAGCGTGCTAGAAGGTTAAATCGCTAGCCACCAGATGGCGGGGTCAAGCAGAGTAATTGCAAGTAGCTAGGCTAGGTGGCGCTAGGTACCGCCCAATTCATGTTCTACAAAAAATAATTTGCTTCTCTCAGGCCACTACTGTGCTTGAGGACCCTCTACTATACACACATGACACCCATACACTTATTACAAGCATCAGGTGAACATACATTAAGCACATGCACTGCACACACAAATATCAATACAACCGAACACCACACTCACCCGAACACTACACCCGTGCTCTGCGTTTCCGTCTTTTATACGGGTCGTTTTGAACGTGCGGAACTTTTCGGTGACTCCCTAAGCAATAAAAAATATTCCCAGCATGTTGATTTTTTCCCTGCAATGTCATACCTCTGAGAGTATTTTGAATGGCTCAGGGGTTGAATCTCTTATTAAAAAGTAAACGCTCAATCATGCCGTAATTATTTGAAAGCCAATAAATCAAGCCGCTCCAATGCGGTTCGAAGCCATGAGTTTGTTTCCCCACACGGCAAGTCGTAGCTTGTATTTCTATTTGTTTTTCTATTTGTGCTGTTCGCGCGAAGCTGCAATTGCCGTTTGAATTAATCTCTGTAGAGTGGGTATTCAGTCAGCTGGAAGTGATGCTTCACGGACTGAGAAATTGCTTTTCGATCAACTTGAATGCAGTCAAAGCCGCGACTTGCGGCAGGTGTTAAGTGTACGGAACTACGCCGTGGCGAGCCCGAAAACTTCCAGCGCTCATCCCAGCGCGCCACGGAGGGCAGTTTCTCCAGCAACCGTAGTATAATTAAACAGCAAAATAAAGGGTAGCTTTTTTTTTCGATTTTACCTACTATTGTTTTTAATGCCGATATTCCATACTGTAAATATACGCACTTTACGTCACGCTTTCGTACTGTTCAGTCCTTGCCCCTGAGCGCAATCGCTGTCGGGGACGAGACAATTCCGACAGTCACATTGGCCACTGTACGTAGGAGCTTCTACTGTTCAGACCAGCGTTCCAACATGACTATCCGCACGTTGATCGATTGCACGTAATCCCTCAAGTGGTATTAAACTTTTTAATGTAAAGCGGAATGTCAACCTGCGACACCCCGCCCCCTCCGATCACAACCCGACATGCGGCATCAATGCCCAACAGTTTACGATCTCATCTTCTTGTTACACCACTGATACGCGAACACATGGTCACATCGGCGATAATTCCAGTCTACTTTTCACAACCCAACACTGTCATCACGATGTTGCAGCTATGTTGCTGACACGCACAAACACAAAACCACGTTGAACGCCGGTTGCACTCGGCATCGGAAAACAGAACCGAACTCAGGGGGGAAGGCACCCAGGCAGCCGGCAGCAAAGCCTTCCTGTCTTGGACGCAGTTCCTGCAGTTTCCATAACGTCGAAAACGTCGACACAGTTCCGCGTGCCTTCGCCACTGTAGTCTGTAGTGCTGCAGCCTGCAGTGGCTGTAGTTCCGTCGTTCCGTGCCGCGCGAGTCACGCAATCCGTAGAAGGCCATCCCCCAGTTGCCCCAGTGTACGTGGCGCTGCTGGCACTGCTCCGAACTTCGCTGTTTCTAGCGGCTTCGTTTGCTCGTTTGATAAAATTAGTGATAAAAACGTCAATGCAACCGAAATGTTCTGGACGTTTAAACTATAAGATGGAATTACAGGCGGCCTTCGCTGCTGCTGGAGCTCAATCAACTCAACAGCTATTTATTAAACAACGCGCGCGACCTGCTCGAAAAACGAAACCGAAAGACGATGAGTCGGGAGGGCGAAAGCTTTCTCCCGTCTGCCTGGAGAAGGAGAAAAACATTTCGTTCCTCTCCTTTTCTCGTGTCCGCTTGGGGGCGCGTCGGTAGAAGGGAGGAAGGCGCGCCGTTGCTACTTTTTTCCTCCATTTTTTCTTAGAGTGTAGGGCACCAGTCGGGGCGCCATGCTGGCAATGTCTATAGAAACCACCACTGACTCTATAGAGAGTTTTAGTAGATCGTGTCTTCAGGCCACGCTATTTGTAGCGGGAGCTCGCGCTGCCACTTCGATGTATGCTCTCTGGAGCGCGTGCCCGTAGCGCTAGTGAGTCTTTGAGTACGATCTGCTAAAACATCCCTTGATATGACCATAATGGATATGACCCAATGCCGCGCCGCTACGTAACAGCGACAGCGATGGTTTTCATGGTTACGCCTCTCCGCGGCGCGACGCGATGCGATTTTTGCTTACATGTGTTAACGAGCCGACCCAGATTCGTATCGTCTTTTAATTTAAATCACTAAAAGTTCGATGCTCAGACAGACTCAAGATGGCCACTGCGCAGTTCAGGAAGTATGATCGTTATGTTGGCGCAATCACTATACTCCGCGACAACTTTTCTTGGCAATGCAGTGGAAGGTACAGGCCCGCGTCCCCTCTCCCATTTTGAGTGTACGCAGGCTCTCCTCCTCTCCCCGAAAATGGGAAGGAGGAGAGCCTGCGTACACTCAAAATGGGCGAGGGAACGTGGCCTGTACCTTCCACTGCATCGCCAAGAAAAGTTGTCGCGGAGTATAAGTGTACCCTCTAACAAATCTTAGCTCGCTCTCCCTCACTCACCCGAAGGATGGGCAGGACTTCGGTGAGGTTGCGGAACATGTCCTGCGGGTTGTACTTCTTGGGCTTGGGCGGCAGATAGGGCCGCACGTCCAGGGCGCAGTACTGGCCACGGAAGTACTCGCGGACGTCGTCCGCGGCCCCCACGTCCCGGGCCACGACGTCCACGCATTCGTTGTAGGCGCCCCAGGCGCTCAGGGACCCTTCCAGGATGCCGTCGGGGACCTTGCCTGACGAGTCCAGCACTGCATGCGCGTCGGACGCCAAAAGATACGAAAGAAAAATCAGACGTTTCTATGAGCCGACGTCCACCTTAAAAGCCAATTATTTATCGAACCAAAACATTATATATATTGGAGGCCTGTAGCATTTATTTGTGTGAAAACTCGTCAGCAAGAAAGAGGGTACAGAAGAAAAAAAGCGCCGAATCACGGGGCATTCACTGAGCGTGACTGGTTTAGCGGGCGATAGCAGACACAGAAAGACGACGAGCGCCGTGACAAAGCATTTTTGGCGCTGTTTGATTGGCCTCATCTGATTGTAACGTCGGGTGTGCTCAGATTTAGTGTAAAACAGAGTACACAGCCTTTTCTTTTTTCAAAATTGCGCGTCATGTAGTAGCTGTTGCTCCAATTATTCAAGTCGGCCATACTTTGGTCGTGTCTACACTACTCTGAGCATGCATTGGACGCTGGGGCTGCAAGGTCAGCGTTCGACGTGCACACGGCTCTAATCGCGCGTCGAGAACGACTGCAGCGACAGTGTTAGGCGAGAGCTCAGGCCCGATCCCTCGCTTCCTGCCCGAGGAATGGTGACCGCCAACGTTGCTCGACGGGGTATGGAAAAGGGTCCGACGATAACGAGGTTTCGCTTTGCAGCTGTGATGCTAAGCCTCGTGAAAGGGACTACTGTTGGTGCTCGGTATGGCGGAAGTTGTGAAATAAAAAAAAAAATACGTTAAGGTACGAAGGCACCGGTTGTCTAGCAGATCTCTGGAGCGCGTAAAAGTATTCGTGCGACTTGAATCCAAAATTCTGCTACGGTAAAAATTTCTCCGGCCGTTTCGTTTCTGCCACAGAGTCGGAGCGACGACGCTTTACGTGGAGTTATGATCTCCATATTAATTGCAATCGCTCCTTTTTCAGCGGGCCGTTCTCACGCGGTATATGGGACTGACAAGATGTGTGTCGTCCCCCTGATCATGTTCGCCGCGATTCGCGGGTGGCGTTGCGCAAGCCTTCCCAGAAACCTCCCAATTAAATCCTACAAGGAACCGGGATGTCCGATTTATTTCGTGCAGCAATGCGAGTTATAGGTACTACCTAGTCAGCGATAAGCTGAGAACGGCAGAAAGGGGCTTCGGTTGTCCCGCCTCTAGCGCGAGCTTCCCCCCTTCCCGTGAGTCTCGAACGCGCACGTGCATGCCGAAGCACGGTGGAAGGCAACGAGCGCGTGCTGGAGGCCTGACATTTGAAAGACAATGAGTATACCATCTACAACGCTCAAATAATTCCTTTTCTAAGGTGATAGATCTCCAGAGCTATATACTGTGCCTGTGCTCGTGCCACGTATAAACTACATTTGCATAAAATTTTCGCCAAGCTATTTGCATTTTTTACTCGCTGTATTTATCGATCACCTTGGGTCTGGACCATTCAGAATAGACACCGATAAAAACCGACAGATGAAGCCTTACTCTAATATTAGCACCAGAAACCAGATTTTTGTTTTCCCTCTCTGGGTGTAGAAGACCGTGCTCCTTTGGTTGCCTTCGGGAAAGTTAGCCCATGTTCACACTAGAGCGACTAATCCGATTTCGATAGCAGCTTTAAATTCGGCTGACACGCGATATCGTTCAACGCCCCTCGACCTTAATAACGATAACGTGCGGGCCCACTTTTAGAGTTCCGAAACGTATATCTTAGCTGACAGAAAGGCACTGCCATTGCAATCTTGCCTGTGCCGGCAGTGCATGGTCATGCTACCGCTCCGGCTTCATTCAAACGACCAAGATTCAATATCCTAAAAAATGAGGCTCCGGCTTTTAAGCAAAGACCCACCGCGCAGTAGGAAGAAGTATACAAGCGATCAGCGACCTGTCCGTAATAACGAGAAACACAACGCATACGCTGATTTACCAAGTTCGTAGCCGAAAATGTTGCCTATATATACAGGATCTCTATAATAACGGAGTCCGTATTAACGGGACATGGCAGTACTTTTCTCGGCGGAATATTTGGTGTCGCCAGCGCATGTTTATGACACGTACAGCGTGTCAAGCGAATCCGATGCAAGAACCGCCCCACAGACGTTCGCAACGCGTAATCCGTACGTTAGTCTCGGGTAATGCGTTCCGTCTTTCTTTTTGTGGAGAGGAGGTGGGTCATCTGAGGCACGTAAATGAGGCAATTTTTCACGTATATGCTCGTTAACTCCGTTCCTTCGAGAGGATCACAGTTCTTGGCCCGCATCGAGAAGGAGTCTAACACCCACTTGCAAATACGAATGTTTTGAAAATTTTCTTTTGTTTGTTCGAGGCAAATTGAGGCCACCACTTTGCTTTGTTGTTTTTGTTTCACAAATTTTAGTATCCTAGTTTGTAAAGTCCTAGTTTGACTACAGGCTCTTATCGCCAAGGAAAATGCACGAATTGCTCCTGGCACAAGGGCTGCCTGCTGCCTTTACGCATACAAAAGCCGTCGCTATTCTTAGATACAAAGGGAGATTTCTGTCGAACGCTGAACCAACGAATGCAAACAAAGCAAACAAATTAAACACAAAAAAGTGTTGTTTTTTTCAGTGGCAAGCTCGCATATTTAGATCTTTCTTACATATTGAAGGTTCATTCCTTCAGTATAGAACTATATCTTCGTGACACTATCCGTGCGACGTCTAATTACAAAGCGTGTGCTAGCGGCGTTCAACTGTGCGTGCTACTCGCAACGTAAGTATGTCCTAGAGCCAAGTGAACCCGCACGCGAAAATGCAGTGAAGAGTGGACTCTACAGAACGATTGCTCAGTGTTAATGACAGGACGACACAGAGGCTATAGCCTGGGCGTTTGTCCTAGCCGGGCCACTCTATATTGTATGTCTATAGAACGAAGATACGATGAATATGCGACAAATTCCGCCAGGCGGCGTACGCTGTCTCCGTGGCAGGTGGCCCAAAAAGCCCTTTTTAATACCCTATCAAGCAACATTGGCGGTCGCCGTTTCTAGGCTAGGTGGCGCAAGCTACCACCCGTTTTAAAGGGTACAGCCGTTAGCATCCATCCATTGGGCACATGCGTGTCATTGGCTCCTAGTCATCGTCGAACGCTGACGCAGTACTCGTTTCTTGAATAGGAGCTGAGCCAAGTTCGCGCCGAGCGCTGATACAGCCCACGTACCTAAGAACGCGATGAGAGTACGTCCGCAAACAGTGCCCGACTCGAATCATTGGAGCAGCTGCTGCTAGGTGGCGCGTGCTCTTGAAAAGGTCTATTTAGTCGTTGCAGTATACGACTACTAACCTGAGGCGTTTAACCCAGCCCATCGTGCAGAAGTAATGAAACGAAAGCGCGCCAGTAAACGACATTCATCGAGACCGAAATTGGCAAGGGCGGAGATCGAACCCAAGAATAAGCCCTCTTTCCTTCAGCATCTATGCATTTATCTCCAAGGATCAGCTCCGTCTGTGTTTAGTTCTCTTTTTTTTTTTTCCTTCTAAGCGGCATGGGAGCAGTTCAATAGTCGAACATATATTGCGGACCACACCTCAACCTACGTCCGTTTCTAGGGCGCTTCGGGCACGTGCGCGTGCCTTCGATGTGTAGAACCAGTCTCTGGGTGGTTTAGTATAGAACGGAAAGTTGGTCAAGTTTGTAAGCGTTCAACGGGGAAACAGCGCACCATTTTCACTTAAAGCAGGAATGAATTACGGGTTTATTTTCAAATACAAACTTTCAGTTGCAAGTCAGCGCTTGGTCCTGCCCGCTCTCTTCTTTCGTCCTCGTTTATTTATTTCTTGCTGCTTATTTTTATGATGATCTCTAGGCGGTTACCTGCCCGGCTATTAGACACATACTTTTGTTCTAAAGCAATTACAAATTAGAAACCAAAAGAAGAACAAAAACAGATAGAAAGACGACTGCCAGTCAGTTCGAAAAGCAGCCTCGGTATTCGATTAGAGCGGCAACGTGATTTTTTTTTTATTGCCTCTTTTCTGTTTTAAAGGAAGGCGGTTAGGCCTAATAGAGTTTGGTGCCTCGGGAGGCTTATCAAACATAACTCTCGACGATACCCCGCTTTGTGTCCCGGTGCTGTTATATCGTGACTTTCGGTGAGCAGGTTTAGGCATGCTCTTCAGTCTGTTGAAGAGCCACTTGGTCGGCGCTTAGATACGTCTTTTTAATGCATCGTTTAACGAAATTGAAGGAGCATTACAGCCGGTGCGGGCGCCCCCGCGTATACGCTCTCAACAATATACTAAAGAAACTGAGTGTCGTGTCCTCGAGCACCCTCTCTTTCCTTCGTACTTTGCCGCATCGATATCAGACATGTACACGTTAATAAAACAGATGTAATTGGATACAAGTAATGCGTTACTTGTAAGGCGTTACGCACAAGCCTGAAATCTGATATTTGAGTCGAAACAAGGGTGACCTTGGCGTTGTCAATGCGTAGCTCAGTTTAGATCGGTGTCTGTCGGCACGACTCAAGCGGAATATGACCTTGTCGCCAAAATTACGCTGACACTTTTTTTTTATACAGCGATGTTGTTTATGGCTATGGTTCCGTGGATTTTTTGTGTGCGTCAACAAAAACTCCGAGAGGCCTCGCACCGCCCTCTCTTTGTCGTTGTTCCAAGCGCTTGCGTGCCTGGTTTCCTTTCCTTCCGCAGGGTGGCGGTCCCGTCACGCGTGTCTAGTTTCCTCCGGCTCCCCGGGGCGGCGATAGTCCTCGACATCTGTAAGCGTACCTTCCGTCACGATGATCACCGATCAAGACAGTAAATGTGCTCGTACCTTTGTTAAAAATTCTGTGTTACGTCTCTGTCATGTACTAAACAGCTTCGCTGGTCATCCACCTTCAGAAAATGGAATGGCTCATCTTTTTTTTTTTTTCTTTAAACTTTCACTAAACATTGCATAAAATAAACACTTGCAGCCAATGTTTGTTATACACACGCGCTGAGGATTAACAATGTTGTTACCGAAGCTGAGGAAGTGGTAGCTGTCACAGTGGGTACTTCTGTGTGACCG